CGTTGATATATCGGTTGGCCTCACATTTGGACAGATTGTGGAGCAGAGCGTAAAGGGTGACAGACATGCCATCCCTCGCACTCTCGTATATCTTACGGCCAACACATGAGTGCACGTAATGGAGGACTAAATGCTCCGACAGACCACGTCTTCGGCACACATTCACGTCATTCGCTTCGTTCATATCGTTATCACTCATGTTGTCATCGATGGTACTCATTGTCCACTCAATCACTTAGAAACTGTTCACCGATAACCATATCACATGAAACACTTGTCCGCTCGTCAATTGTCTCATTGGTGGTCATCTCAAGACAGTACACTCATGTGCACCACAATGACACAAATAAATGAACTTGGTTAATGTATTACTCAACAGCTTATAACTACAATTAGACACTAATTGAGGTGATCTTAAGACAAGTGGACACTAAATGGTGACAAACCGTAAGAGTGGTCGACTCAGTCATGTAAACAAACAGTGCTTTCATGTAAACAATGTCTCACTCGTGTGCCTCACTATACGTTATTTACGAATGACCTCTCAATACAACGAAGTGTCAAATGAACGAAACAATTGCCACAACTCTATGAGTCTATGCGTAACTCTTTCGCTATATGCAATACAATGTATCCAATCTTTCAATTGCTTTTAAAGTTTAAAAAACTTTTTTACAAATTATCNTAATCATTCAATTCATACACCAATTAACTGTAAACAAAATGTGTTAAGTATTGAAATGTTGTGCCGACAGGACTGGGCGGTTGGTTCCCAATCCCTCCCAAGACATACATGAGAGCGTTGGGGAGTCGGGAGAAGGAAAGGCAAGGAATGGACACTAAGGCGAGCGATGAGACCACAGAGGATAAGGACAAAGACAAGGATGAGTTTGTCATCGAGAGAGTAATCTCCAAGAAGCGAATTTGCTGAGCACCGGTACCTCCATTACCTCCATTTCATACAGTAGTTGTTTTATAAATTTGTAATTATATTAAAATAGTTATTATGAATAATAATGAATAAATAAAATAATGCGCGAATAAGTGGCACAAAACACAAAACAAACTCATCTTTACTTCGTTTGAAAATAGTTTTACAAATGGTTTGAATTAAAAGATTATAATTAAATTTTGCGGGAATGCTATGAGAGTTTAAAATATTGGATAAATATAATAATTAAAAATAATTACAGTAAACGAAACAGTTTTTGTTGTAATTCGACGAAAATATATAATGAAAGTATTTTGTGGCAAATATAGAGTTCAAATGTACAGTAAATTTGCTTAAAATAGAAATATTTGGAATCAAAACAAAAAATCAATGATTTCTTGATTACAATTCAAATCGTATATCATATTATACAGTATATACTGTTGTTTTATGCTATTTATGTTTATGTCTTGTTTTACAATTGTTTTTAAATATACGGTATATTTGTTTTGACGATTAGATCGGAATATATGAGGCTTTCGGTCGTTTCATCTAACGCTAAATCGAGACACAGTTTTGTTTGTTTTATGTTTAATAAGTAATTGTTATATACATTGCTATTATACAAGAAAAATAATCTTAAGACAAATATCTGTTAACCGTCTTCTTTGGGAGGTGTGAACCAACCTTTCATTTCACATGAAATCAATGCATTAATTACTCATTCATTAGTCAATTAATGTGCTCAAGACTTACCATTCTTTTCGTGTATTTGTACGAGAGATTTGAAGGACTGTTGAGCTCGAGCTAAGCTGTACTGACCCTATGGTGGACAGACAATGCATGTGTTAAATGCCATTCAATATAAGACAATGCAATACAACATTCATTACTTTATTGCCTCCGAACTGAATGCGTGCCTTCCCTTTGACAAGAGTTGCGGATATTTGTAATATAATCGCTTCGATCGTATAGGCGCTGCTCCAGCCCTGAGACCAAACATTAGCGCTTAATATGACATGAAATGAATGCAATGGAAATGAAGAGCAATACCTGTTTGGTGAGCAGTTCCATACATATGGCGCCGCCGCCCAACACATAGCCCCCAGTGATGGACGGGTGGACGACCCGAACAAATGGCGGTTCGAAAGGAAAGGCTTCTTTGAAGAGAACGTTGAGGAGAATGAAGTCTTTGCCCTCTTTTTCTTTGAGAACCTGTAAGTCATTGTGCAGTTGAGAGTCGGGATCCACGACCAGAAGCTTAACGTTCCACTCGTAGAGACTGTCGTTCACTAAGTCGACGGTGAAGACGCCTCTCTTGAAGCTCTCCGACCGATAGACTTCTTTCAACTCTTTCATGAGTCGATCGGTCGCCTGAACGGAGCCCGAGACCGAGCCCTTGAGGTAACCGTCCCTTTGGTTCTGTCGCAACCGTTCCAGTGTTGCCGTGTGTTCTGTCGACAGTCCCTCGTCTTTGTTCTTCTCCTGGTTCTGGTTCTCGTCCTCCATCTCGATGTGCAGGTCTTCCTCAGCCATGTCTTCGTCGTCGTCGTCCTCGTCATCGCTGATGGGCTGTTCCACGGATGGGTACGTGGGATACATGTGCTTATCATCAATGAGTTCATCGCAAATGATTGACTGGTTGTCCCGTCCGTCGCAGAACCGGATCTGATCCAACTTTTCCATGTCTTGCAGTAATGGCATGTTATAGATGCGACACAACTCCTCCACTAAAATCCTTATTTGTCTCAAGAGGTGATTGTCTGCACCGTTTGTATTGCTCAGGGATTGGACCACATTTGTGATGACGGGTTCCTCCGACTCGGAGAACCAGACGGGAGGTACCGATGGATATGTTTCCTGAAAGAGACAAACATTACACTCAATATGGACTCCAATGAGACAATTTGCGAGCATTTACTGTAATATTTGCGTGGATTTCGTATTTCTTGCCGTTGTTTGCGATGAAACGACACGATATCTCATCGACGGTCGCGGATATCACTTGAAACCTGTCGTGAGTCTTAGGGAATGTCTTCTCCAGACGTTTGATATCCGCTTTCAATGTGTTGAGACATGCCATCTTAAGACAGCACTGGTTGTCGCGAAACCTATAGCTGCTGTGTCTTGAATGCAAGTGTCAATTGAGTGGACAATAGGACTTGGCAGTGGATTGCGGATCAAATGAAGTGATTGCTCGACAACAAGTGGTGAGTGTTTAGGGAATCATCGCTTCCTTCTATTGTTCACTCAATGCATTCAACACTCATTGCAATCAATACATCACTTATGCATTCAATTGAACACAACTCGCAAACTAACCATTTATTAGCACCAAATCACTCGGTGAGTCCAGTGATCGCTGTACTGGTGGACCAAATGTGGTGATAATTAGATGAATGTTTGGACAAATAGACGCAATTCAATGCTATAATGCTTTCAATGGCTATACTATTAAATGCAGTAATAATGGGAATACAATCGCAAACAACCAGACCTTTCATACACTCATACAGTAATACACACTTCACTTCAATACTCACTGACACTAACTCTGCGCTCATAGACAACGTTACATACAGTTGCCAACCATTCACGCAATTTCCCACAATTCCCACACAATTAGCAATCAAACCATTCATTTACACATTTCCAACACTTGTCATCATTATTATTAATCTAATCAGTGTTACACATGTAGTGACCATTGCAATGGTTTCCTCTCAAATACCAGTGCTCTCATAATGTCACAGAAAATCAGTCGGGGTTCTCGCAAATGGACCCAAAATTGGGTCAATTCATAGTTTCACAAGTTTTGGGCTTTACCTTGAATTTGATAGCCAAGCCTCGCATATACCAGTTCCCTGTGCCTTAAAACTCCCGGTTCGGTCACTTTTTAATGCCAATAAGTTATTTTGTCCGAAATTTATCTGACATATAAGCCGAAAACTACTGGAAAAGTTACTTGCACATGTTCCA